GTGCCTTAAACCCGGCCTTAGAGCCCTTAATAATTCCTTCTTCAGCGATCTCTCTTCTCGGGTTAATCTTAAAAAAACTGAATTAGAACAACAACAACTTAAAACCCTCAACGGTGAAGCCTGTTATGATTTGGAAATTCCATTAAATAAAGATCTTAAGCTTCTTGAGGATGCTGAAACTATGTTCCTAAAGCAAAAATCCAAGGTTCAGTGGCTCAAAGAAGGGGACAAATGTTATAAATTCTTCCATTCCGCTATTGCCCTTAAAAATAAAAGAGAACTATTAGACTGCTGATTGATGATCATGGTAATATATTAGAATCTTTTGATGCTATGTCCTCTGAGGTGATCAACTTTTTCTTTAATCTCCTTGGATCTACTGATCCAAATATCAAGCATACTGATCATAATGTGCTCAGAGATCTTCTTCTTTCTTCTCTGCCTGCTGATCTGGTTGCAAATCTTAGCAGAGACATTACTAAGAAAGAAATTAAAGATGGTTTCTTTACTCAAGGGAATGACAAAGCCCCGGCCCAGATGGTTACTCTTCTCTTTTCTTTAAAAAGTCTTGGGCTATTATTGGTGATGATACCACTGCTGCAGTTTTACAATTTTTTTCAGGAATCCTACATTCTTCCTGCTTTCAATGCCACAACTATTGCTTTGATTCCTAAGATCCCTAATCCTAGTAAGGTCAAAGACTTTAGACCAATTTCCTGTTGTTCAGTGGTTTACAAAACAATTGCTAACATGCTTTCCAATTTAATCCCTCACCTTATCACCCTTAACCAGACTGCCTTCGTGAAGGGCAGATCCATTGTTGATAAAACCATTCTTTCCCAGGAAAAAGTGAGAGGTTACAATAGGAAAAATATATCTCCTCTTTGTTCAATGAAAATTGATCTCCATAAAGCCTTTGATTCTCTTAACTGGGATTTTTTATCTGCTGTTTTAAAGGCTTTAGACCTCCCTCCCATTTTTATTTCCTGGATTGAATCTTGCTACTCACTAATTTTTCTTTCTGTTTAAATGGGATTGGTTATTTTAGAGGAGCAAGAGGTGTCAGGCAAGGGGATCCTCTATCCCCTTTTCTTTTTATCATTTCCATGAATATTCTTTCCAAGCTCTTGAACTTGGCTACGTCTAAAGGTCTTTTTAGTTATCACCCCAAATGCAAGGGCATAGGTCTTACTCACCTCTCATTTACTGATGATCTCCTTATTTTCTGCAAAGGAACAATAGACTCTATCATCGGAGTCACTTCTGTTCTTGATACTTTTTATGAAATTTCTGGCCTTAAATTAAATGCTCCTAAATGTGAACTCTTTAGTGCTGGTGTTTCTAATTCCACTCTTGATGATTTGAAAATGATTACTGGGTTCAAACCTGGTAGATTACCTATAAGATATCTAGGCATTCCTCTGGTTACCAGGAAAATTACAGATAAAGATTGTTCTGCCCTCATTGACATCATTAAAGATTGACTACATCAATGGTCTGGTAAGATTATAAGTAATGCTGGCAGATTAGAGCTCATTAGAGTTGTTTTATTTAGCATTACTAACTATTGGTACAGGCCAGACCATTAGTCATGCTGGCAGATTAGAGCTCATTAGAGTTGTTTTATTTAGCATTACTAACTATTGGTACAGGCAAATCTCCTTACCTTTCTCTGTCATTAAAAAGATCGAACAATTGTGTTCTAGATTCTTTTGGAAAGGGGCTGATAAACCTGCTGCTGTAGCCAGAGTAAGTTGGCGGAAAATCTGCTATCCCAAATCTAATGGAGGCCTTGGTCTTAAGGATTTAAAAACCTGGAACAAAGCTTGCATGATGAGTCATATTAAGAACATTCTTGCTGGTGAAGGATCATTGTGGGTTGCATGGCTTAAGAGCTACATTTTCAAAACTAATGATTTTTGGTCTATTGCAATCAAGTCAAACATGAGCTGGAGCTTAAAACAGATTTTGAAGCTAAGGACTGAAGCATCCTCTATTCTGCCTTCTGTCTCCAAGAAAATTGGTGATATTTGGAATGAAATTAGGGTGAAGAACCCGAAAGTTCACTGGCAATCTATTCTTTGGTTTCCTCTCCTAATTCCTAAACATAGCCTTATATCTTGGATGGCTTTCCTTGACCGTCTTCCCATAAAAGAGAGGCTCCACCGAATGGGGATCGTCATTGACTACCACTGCACTTTCTGTGGTGCTGAACGGAAACAAGAAACCATTTATTCCTCGAGTGCCAGGTCGCTACTACACTATGTCTGCAATCTTCTCCTGCAGTGGCCTTCGGTTTAGACACCATTCATGGGATGCACTCTACGCTTGGGCTATTGCTAATTGGAAGGGTTCTTCCCTCCTCACTTCAATCATGAAACTCTCCTCGAATGCCTTGATCTACATTACAGGAAAGAAAGAAACAAGAGGATTTTTCAATCTCAAGCATCAACTGTCGAAGCTATGTTCAGTTCGATCAAGGAAATTGTTGGATTCAAACTAAGGGGAAGGCATATTAATCGCTTACACACTGCTAATGTTTCCTTGTAACCAATGGGGTATTATTTAATTGTATCTTCATTTGGTTTTTCCTTTTATGATGATCTTTGTAAATCCAAACATTGCTTGTATTTTGTAGCAGCTCACTACTAGTTATTTGGGTAATAAAATCAAACAATTATCCAAAAAAAGAAAATCTAGATCTTAACGATGAAGACTTTATAACTGGATCTCAGGAGGTATTCCGACGATCCAATTTTCCGAGCGTGCTTACAAGCTGATGGAGGCGAGTATGACGAGAACCGTGGTGCTCAAACTTATCGGCAAAAATATTGGATTAAACGCACTTTCAAATAAAACCTTCGCAATCTGGAAGCCTTCCCAATCCTTCACCCTTATGGATCTGGAGAATGGATATTTCTAGCTAAATGTCAGAACGATGAGGACTATGATAGAGTCTTGGCTGAAGGAGCATGGATCGTCATTGAAAGTTATCTAACGGCCCAACCATGCTCAATGAATGTTAGTACCTCAGAAGCTTTTCTGTCCACCGTCATGGAGTGGATCCGATTTCTAGGTTTTCTCGAATACATGTTTAAGAAGAAAATACTTACTAATATTGGAAATCTTATTGGCAGGGTGGTCAAAGTGTATTTACGGAAAGACACATTTAACCGACGTCACTTCGCGAGAGTGGCAGTGCACATTGATTTGAACCAACCCCTCATAGCCCGTATCATAGTAGGTGATAAGTTCAAAACGTCGTCTATGAAAATCCTCCTTTAATTTGTTTCGTGTGCGAAAGATTTGGTCACTCAAAGGAAGCATGCACGTTTACCAATCCGGCCATGGACAAAGAGCCGATAACTGATACTGTAATGGTCAGGCGAATAACCAGTGTTAAGGACAACACTGCACCTCGGGGAATAAATCTGTTATCAATGCTATGGAGAACTAGAACCAATCGAAAAATCATCCTCATGGCCCCTGGATGATAGTGGAACGTCGGTGCCAACGAAATCCCGTTAGAAGTGACAACAGTTACAAACCCACCCCCAAAGAAAGTAAATCCCAAGGGTCCAGATTTGCAGCTCTAGCTATTGAGGTTAATGAGACCGGTGATCACGGCCGAAATCAAGGGGTTGTCAATCAAACCGTGGAGTCTATTTCCAAAATGGGTTCAGGTAGGAAATCCGTAATTGGTATTTCGGCCAAGGAAGGTAATAAAAGTTTAAGTATTGAACATCCTATCCCAAGGCCAAAGTTAAGAGAGAAGAAATCACCCATAGTGGACCCAACTAAAAAGAATCTTGCATCTGTTACGATTGAAGTCAACCTGGGTCCAGCTCACGTACGATAATACCCATGCAGACTAAGCAAGACTTTGCAGCCACGCACATGCAAATCATACATGATCTCCCTTCGTCTTCAACGACTCATGGTGCACAAAATACCTTGAATGGCGTACTTAAAGAAGCGAATCCCTCGACTCCAAGAAATATGATGCAAGCTTTGACCCAGGTAAACCTTAACGACGAATTCTTTAATTCAAAAACTAATCGCATGTTTGATAATACGCTAGGAATGGAAGGTAATTTGGCGAGCACCACTTTAAACCCCGAAGGCCATACGGTGGTCAATTTCATCGCCACTAAAGCTAGTGGAGGAAGTAAGGCTGCTCCTCAAGGAAAGAAAGGAAAGGTCCTCCAGTGGTCCAAAACAAAAATCTTAAAGTTAAGGCTACCACTGGCTATAGTTCTATGACTGAGGAAGCCATGATGGGCATCTTGAATGATATCTAGAACCAACTCCACCGTCAGAAGGTTGAGGTGGAAAAACCTGGTAAGTCTACTGAGCAATAAAAGTATGACATTAACCATTTCCTTTTTTATGGATTTAATGAATATTTCAATACTATATTGGAACTATCAAGGTTGAGAGAGTTTTAAATTTCCCAAGAATCTTAAGGAATATACACAAGATCATAGGCCGGACATTCTAGAATCTAAACTTAATGGAACCCTGTATAAGTGGTGAGAACGCAAATAAAGTGGTCCGTAAACAAGGTTTTGAGCGCTCTTTTAGGGTAGAAGCTACAGGTTTTTCTGGTGGTATTTGGTTACTCTGGAACTCTCCGATTTCAGTTGACATCATCGCGGCTCATCCACAGTATATCCATGCCTCTATCTCAGGGAGTTCTAATAAATCTTCTTTTTTATATATTGCGGTTTATGGTAACCCAAATGCTAGCAAGAGGATGGCCCTCTGGAGAGATCTGAGTAATCTTAAAACCCATGGTAGGCCATGGCTCTTAGCAGGAGATTTTAACGTAATCCTTCATTATGCAGATAAGAAAGGGGGAACTAGGAGTTGTAACGGGTGTAAGCATTTTTGTAACCTCATGGAGCTACACAATCTTGTGGATCTGGGTTTTAAAAGATCCCAATTTATTTAGACCCGTGGCTATGTATCGGAACACCTTGATAGAATGATTGCCAATGATGCATGGTTCACGATTGCGCCGAGTTCGATGGTTCATATCTTACCTGATTAAGTCTGACCACCGTCTCATCCTTCTCAAGACCTCGAATTGCCAGTCTCAACCTCAAAGGAATCAGTTCCGATTAATGGTGGGGTGGACTGAGCATCCCAATTTTAATCAGTTTGTGCAGGATAATTGGTGCTTTGATAGGGACACTCAAAAATCGGTGCGTGACTTTACTGATTCTCTAAAAGTTTGGAATAAAAATGTTTGGTCATATTATGCAGGAAAAGTTGAGACCTAAGAAGCAGAGGGGTCTATTTAGACGTCTCTTGATAGAAACGGAACTCCCCAACAACGTGATGAAGAGCTGAGAATCCGTATTAAACTTGAAGAGGTCCTCGACCAGGAAGAACTGATGTGGAAACAGAAGGCCTGTGACACATGGCTACTTGAGGGAGACCGGAACACCAAGTATTTCCATAGTCGGGCTCTATTTCGTCGGGAAAATGGGGAGTGGTGCTATGACGAGGAGACTCTTCGGAATGAAGCCACTCGTTTTTTCCTCCAATCTTTATCTGGATGAAAGCATTTATGGCCTATGGGGGTTCTTTTCCGGTTAGGAAGTCTTTCCCTCCCATATCCAAGTCGGATTTCAATTTTTTTAGATGCTCCAGTTATCAACGAAGAAATCAGAACCGCCATTTTTGGTATGGGCCCCTTCAAGTCCCCCGGATTGGTTGGAATGAACGCTTTTTTTACCAAAATCAATGGAATACCATTGGCTCTTCTACTTGTACTTGGGTCAAGGATATTTTTGACGGTAAGCCTTTTTGACAAAGAGGTTAATATTATTTTCATAATCATTTTAAAACGAAAATAATTGAATTAAAAATAATTATTACTTTATTTAAGAAAATGAGATTTTGAATTAATATGAAATTGGAGTCGCCATCAACCTTTGGTTTAGGTAGATTGAATACCTAAAAATATCGTTTAAAATAATTTTAAGAAAAATTATTTTAAAGACAAAAATTGGTCTACGTTTACGAAATTCATTTTTAAGAGTTCAGGAGTCAATTACGCGTAGGGAATGGTGAATATCCCCATAACGCCAAAAATTGGTACCTAATCGTTTATAAATTGTCTTTATGGTGGAATTTATAAATTCGAATCAAAATTAAAATATGATCATTTTATTAAAATTGATTAATTTATCTCAATTTCATTTTTCGTTTGAATGACGTTGAATCACACTCTATATAGTGGTGTTTTCACGCCATTTTACGACGAGCTTTCTTGAAAATAATATCAAGAAAAAGGTGTTTGTAACATAAATAAATAAATGATTGAGTGATAAAAAAATAAGACTGAAAATATGAAACAACAAAACAACATACATGTGTACATATTTTAAACACGTATAATATTTTAAATATACATGAATATGGGGTAATAATCAAAGTATAAAATTATGCAATAATATAAGGATTAACATATAAATAAAAAATACACAAGGACCAAATCAGAACAAATGACAACCAATAAAATAAATCAAACAGAAGTAAATCTACAAGGACTAGGTATATAAATAATCCACAAAATAGTAAAACAATGACTGAAATACATAGTAAAACCAGGAGGATCTAAAACATAAATAGAACATTTTCTAAACATAACAACACTAAGGACTATAATAAAATAAATCTACAATTAACTACTCGTATCAGACATTTAACCAAAGCGTATTACGGAGCATACAATAACTAAAATATAAAGTGGCAAAATTAAAAGGATTGAAATCATAAATAACCCATGTTCATTGATGACCAAATTGCAAGGATTACAAAGTTAGAAGGACCTGGAATGTTGTTAACCCACGCGAGTTTGGTATGGTTTCGTTAACCCTCAAAACTACGTCGTTTTGGTCGGTGTATATAAGCCCAATTATAGAGCCTTTTTTCTCATCCTCTCTCATTTTTCATTTTTTTGGTTTCAATAGAGAGAAAGAAACTCTTTGTTTTCTCTATCCTATGGAGGTCACCCACCGTTCACCGTTGGCGTTCCTCCACCGCCGGCCACCATCGTCGGTGGTTGAAAAATCCCAAAATACCCCAAAATGCTCCCCTTTTCCTCCTAAGCTCAAATCTTAGGCAATCTTTGCCTAAAACTCACCCTTTGAGTCTAGATCTAACAAGGAAACCGAAGAGTCTATATTCTTCCATCTTCGATCTAACCGTTCGGTGAAGCCCTCGTCAAGGTTTGTTGTTCTCACTCCCCGACGAAGAATTTGACCAGATAGATTCTCGACATGAGGCTTCAAACCAAGGTAAATACTCTTTTTTTTGTGTTTCGTTTTTTTTAACTGTTACTTCTTTTTTTTTTGAATTCTCTATCTTTTTTTAGGCTTTATAAGATGTAAAGCATTGTTGGAGACTCCAGTCACGTCCATCGGTCATTTGCTCTGACGACATAATTTTTTAAATGGATACCACCATTTGCTTGAATTTTTTCTAATTTTCATTCGAACTGAGGGTGGGCTTTGATAGTGGCACAGTGATGGTTCGACTGAGGTGGTAGATTGGAAGTGACAAAGGTGGCAGATTGGAAGTGACGAAGGTGGCATATTGAAGGCTGGCGACGACGACAACAAAGTTGGTGGCGTAGTAGGTCATGATGGGGCTAAGGTTAGAGCAGGTTTTGGGCTAGGTTTAATTTGGGCCTGTTTTGGGTTTGGATTTGGACATGATTTTGTCTTTGTAATGGCCTGCAAAAAATGTAATTAATATTAGTAATAATATACTAAAATAATAAATAAACAAACCCGGATGAAAACAGGTGTCGACAACTATGATTGTCCTCTTCCCTAAGAAGAAGGTTCTAAAATATTTCACTGATTTTCAACCTCTCTGCCTTTGTACCGTCCTTTATAAACTGGTCATGAAACTCATTACTAATAGATTCAAAGATATTTTTTTCGAAGATCATTACACAAAACCAAGCCAACTTTATTGTTGACGGGAGCGTAAATGACAATATCCTAGTTGCTCAAGAGGTTGTCCTCTCCATGATAAAAAAAAGGGGAAAACTCACTGGATGACGATCAAGGTGGACTTCGAAAAAGCCTATGAACGCGTTATTTGGAAGTTTATTTCTGTTTCCCTAGAGGATATGGGGTGTCCCTTTCGATTACATCGCATTATCATGCATTTCGTCACCTCCTATAGCTTTTAAATTCTCTGGAATGAGTCACTCTCCTCAGTTTTTAAACCTACCAGAGGTATTAGACAAGGTTGTCCAATGTCTCCTTATATTTTCGTCCTCTACATGGAGCAATAAGTTCAAAGTATTTAATATGCTCAAAATATAAACTTATGAGAGTCTATGATTCTTTCTGGGCAAAGCCCCGTTCTTCGTTAACGATCTCCTTTTGTTATGCAAGGCGACCAGTAGCCAAACAATCCTTACTAGAGTTTTTCCTGATCAGTTTAGCATATTTTTGGGACATAGAGTCAATTTTAGTAAGACAAAAGTCTTATTCTCTAATAATGTTCTTGAAAGCCTACCAACGATCTCTACTCTAAATTGGGATTTCAATGCACATTCAATCCTGGTACCTACTTGGGTATGCCTCTATTTCACAACCGAATCACTAAAAGCACTTTTCAATCTATTGTTGACAAGGTCAAGTCTAAACTGAGTAATTGAGTAGCTTCAAAATTATCTCTGGTGGGTTGTATCACCCTCGTCAAATCCATTTTTTTGGCAATCCCCAAATATTTCATACAGGCAGTGGCTATTCCCAAGGGTGTTTGTGATGAAATTGAGAAAATTACCATCTTTTCATTTTGGGTGGTACTAATGAACAACCTAAGATGGCTCTTGTTAGCTGGGTTTCATGCTGCCAACTAATATCCTGTAGAGGTCTAGGATTGTAACTGCTTCGAACCCAAAATAAAGTTTTTCTTGTTAAACTAGGCTATAATCTCCTCACTAATCCCGTAGCCCTTCGGGTTAAGTTGTTCCAGGCTAAGTATAAGGTCAGTGAATATTGTAACATCCCAAAAGTCGGGTTAGTGACAAAAATAGAATTTTTGGAAACTTAGAAGCATGAATTCAAAAGATTGAAAAGTTCAGGGACTTAATTAGTAATATTTTGAGAAGGATGGTCTAGTAAATAATTGATGGAGTAAGTGGTATAATGGTCATTTGACAAGAAATATTTTTATTTTTCCTTTATAAGAAATTAACCATGTGGAATGAAGAAAAAAAGGGAAAAGAAAAGTCTTGAGAGTTGGGTTTTCTTCCTCCTTCAGTCGTGAACCCGATTTGTAAAAGGTAAGTTTCATGTTGGTTGATAAATTCTTAATTTTAAGCTTGGTTTATGTTCTTTAGATGATACTTAAGCTTAAGGAAAGCTTAAGTTGTCTTAAAGATAAAAAGATGAAGAAGTTAGAAAGGAATAAAGATGAGATGGTTATAAGTGAAATCTTGGAAAAAAGTTAGTAATTGAAGTTGAAGTTAAATTTGACTTGTCATCAGTCAAAATAAGAAATTCAAAGTGTTAGAAATGAATTTAGAACATGTTGATAAATTTGTAAGATTCTTGGTTTCCAAATTTAAGATAGAATATTGGATATTAAGATGAGTTAAAGTGGTATAAGTTGGTTAAAATAAGTGTAGTTAAGTTTAAAGGGCTAAAAGAAGGTTATATAAGAGGAATTAAGTAAGTTTGGATGAATTTTTGGGTAAGAAAAGTGATTTTTGGGCTATAGGTATCGGTACTTCTTCCACAGGTACTGATACTTCATGACTGAAATTAACAAAGGCATTAAAAGGGTATCGATACCTAGGAAGAACAGTATCGATACCCAGGGTACCGATACCTTAAGGAAGGTATCGATACCTTAAGGAAGCTATCAATACATTATTTGAACGAGAATTACATAATGCAATATAGGTATCGATACCTAGGAATGGTACCGATACCACAGATAGAGAAGTATCGATACCCTATGGGGGGTACCGATACCATTACAAGAGAAAATTTGGATTAACTTTTCTTCTAGCTTAAGAAATTAATGATCGAATCATAGTATTTAGAATGTTGATATGTATACATGATTGTGTAGATATCGATCGAGAGTAAAGTCCAGAAAAGTTGACACGTAATAGCATCTAGAAGAGATATGAGATCAATATTAACTAATGAGGCCAGGTGAGTGCATATTAATTATATGATGTGTAATGGAAAGAAGACTTGTGACAAGTCTATTTCTATAGTAGAATGCATGAATTCATTAATATGAGCATACGTATGACATGATATGAGCATATGTTTACATGATACATGTGTGTTATTGATTATTGCATTTGTTAAATGATATGTGTGAGTACATGTTAGTGTGATTGTGAATGGGTATAAATGAAACAAGTGATGATATAAGAATCTATTATATGATATATGATATGAAAATGTGATAATGAGCTATGTGAAATAACCATGAGATATATGAAGAAAAGTATATATGATATGTGAAAGTGAACCATATGTTTATATGAATATTGGAAATGATATGAAAGAGA